CCCAGAGCTACTCATAGGAGCTAAAAACTAATTTATTTTAGTTCTCAAATATGCATATTCTTTATGTTGATTTATTAATTAAAATTTTGCTACAAGGTATTTTACAACATTTGTTTATTTATTTATTTATTTATTTTCTTTAATTTTATAATTGAGGGCCATTTTTTATTTCTTGATTCAATTCTTGCTTATACAGTATTTAAATATTTGAAGATTAAAAAAATATATATCATTTCTATTACCGAATTTTTCATTGGGGCCATTTTTACCTACCTGTCATATGGGGCCATTTTACCAGGGCCATTTTTTCTGGGGCCATTTTTTGCGGGGCCATTTTTTCTGGGGCCATTTTTCCGGGGCCATTCTTACCTACATTCGAACCACCATACTGGCCATAGAGAACTGAGTCCGATCGCGCATTGATATCACTGATCTTTATATTAGCAATTGATAAGTATGAGGCGCCAAATGTACTTTCATTATTTAACAAAATTATATACATGATAGAATACAATATATTTTTGAAAATATTTACCAAATTATGGTTCGATTTAGAACAGAAAATCTATGACCATGAATAGGGTTATTGATGAATAAAAACTGAATTGAATTGAATGCATTATTAACTGTGTTGACATTACAATATGAGAAAAGTTCAGCGTGACTCACAACACTCGCACGTTGTGTTTCAACTGAATTTCATCATTTAAAATGGTCGAACATACTATTCAGCATGGTACGGACGACATAGCAGTACCATAGGTATGCAAAGTCAATTTAAGTTACTGTAATGTGAGGCTAATCTAGGCCCCTTTTTATGTTTTGTTATGCAGTCTATAACAGTAAACAACTGGAGAAAAACCAATGCTATCATAATAATATGTAATATTTCAATAGAATTAAAATGCACACTAGCCTAGGCCCTGTAACATAATTAAATTCCGAATAATAAATGCCGACGACTTACATATTTATTGGCATTTACTTTCGAGATATTTTACAGTATTCATATGCGTTCAGTGTGGGCAAAACGGGATTTTTATTACAAGAACGAAAATGTGACGTATCGTTTTAGCTATCGTTTTCGTAAGGATGCGAAATATCTCTATTATAAATAAATAATGATTTTACTCATAGTCATTATTTATAAATAATTGTTTTGATATCATATACTTATAAATAAGGAAAATCGATCTACCAATTGTTTATATATAAATGTTGGAAGCAAAACTAATAGGCCTATAATGAACAAATGTGAATTATATTTTAAAGCCCCATTCCATAGAGAAATAATTATTCTCTATGCATTACTCTTATTATCATTAAACCATGGAAAAATATTGGCATAAATTTTAGTTTTACCAGGGAACAGCTAAATTACATTTCACTGTTCCTTGGTTTTACGCAAAAGGATTAAAAAAAAGGAGAGAAATAAAGACTATTTCACTATGGAATATTACCATTTTCTCTATGAATTCTTCGTTACTAGGCATATTCAGAGGTTGTAGATCGCATCCGCTGGAATGCTCTCGCTTAAACTGCGCCCTCTCTAATGAATTTAGTTGTTGAACATCTCGCACACTGCGCGCGGTCGGTCGACTAGGTCTAGGCCTGATATTTATTTAATTGTCAAAAATCTCGGTCAGAATCATTTTTTTAAAAGAAATTTGAAACTTAATTCCAATGAAGTATCATGTTTCACAAGAGTGAATGCTAGCAACGGAAAATATCATGTCGGCCGCTTTTATGTCTGATAACGGAACCTAAATTGAGGAAGGCTAGCCTAGCCAAGGCTTAGCAGTGTTGATAGGCTAATGTTTCCAGCGCCTACTATATTTCTTCGCAGACCTATCGCAAAATCAAACAAATTCATATCACGTTTTATTTTTTGTGTGGAACACAAAAAAAAAAAAAATCAAATTTCAGTCTTATTTTACATATTTTTCATGTTTAGAAATGTCTAAATTTAGTTATACCCGGGAACAGTGAATTCGCTGTTCCCTGGTTATAGCAATTTCTTATTATATTTATGAATCTTTATAACTTAAATAAAAATCAGATCAAGGCAATTACCTTGATAGATTAAATAATGTATTAGGCTAAGCCCCTATGTACAACAGTATTATAATTTGGTTAAATAATGATCGAAAGTACAAAATAATAATTTATTAGGAACTACATTTTTCAATCAGTGGCACACTTCTCAATCAAGGTGCGTCCAAAACAAAATGTACAGTAAGGTTCACAAAAAAGACTTATGCTAAGAGAAAGAAAATCAAATTTTCAAAAGGGACATTAAGGAAAAGTAAAAAAAAGAAACTGTTCAGCCATATAAAATTAAAAGCAATCTTAAACTAAAAAAAAACTTAAGGCAAAATAAAGTGATGCAAACAATCACGTGAACAATTATACAAACACTATACAAACGTACATGAAATACACATACAGTACATAAGTACATATATATTCATACACAACTGTATACCCAGTCACATGACTGTACCGTACTCACAATTATAAACATAAAGACATACAGTACATACTGAACTCTATACACCACTTATCACACAAGAAACACACATATCAGGCCAGATAACACAGAAGCATAAAAGTAAATCAAAAGTCATAAAGTAATACAGGACTAAAATCAAAAACGTTCATTTTCTTTTTTGATCTCATTTCTCTTTTTCCATGCCCTTGTAGCATACCTTTTACAAAATTTGCCAAATTTTTCTTCAATTTCTTTTGGAAGATTTAGTGAAAAAGAGCCAAGAACATACATTAACTTCTGATCGGTTGTTGAATTTATAAATTGGTTCCAAATAGCCCTATTTGTATTGACTACTTCATGTTCAAGCTTTGCTAGTTCTTCCAATATGATGTTATGGAGGGAAGAACATGAAAAAAGAAAATGTCTAATATCTTCAATTGAATAAGAGCTACAAATAGAACAGATGCCATCATTATTATCCGACCAACTTGAGATTCGTTTTTGTAACGGTAAAGTATTGGAGCGTAATCTAAATTTTATGGAAGCACCTTCAAAATCTGTAGTTTCAAGTAAATATTTTTCTAGGCAAGGGCTTTCCTTAATAATTGAGTAATCTGAAAGGGAAGATTTTTGATCAAGATTACTTCTCCAATCAGTACAAGCTTGTTCTTTAAGTTTATTCAAAATGAAGTTGGTTCAATTTCCGATGAGATAATCAATGGTATCACATATTAATTTAAATAAATTTACTGATTCACATTTTGAGAAAACATTGGAAACGCATTTAAGAAATTTAAAACGGAAATTATCAAAGTTACTATCCACGTGTAGTAAAGCCTTAAGTAAAAGTTTTGGCCATTTTTGTTCAAGATTACTTATCAGTACAAACGTGTTCTTTAAGTTTAGGCCCTATTCAAAATTAAGTTGGTCCCATTTCCGATGGGATAGGCTAATCAATAGTATCACATATTAATTTAAATAAATTTTCTGTTTCACATTTTGAGAAAACATTGGAAACACATTTAAGAGATTTAAAACGGAAATTATCAAAGTTACTATCCATGTGTAATAAAGCCTTAAGTAAAAGTTTTGGCCACCGATGTGATTCCATATGTATAATGCGATGAAAATATTTTATGCGAGAAATATCGTGCATAACACTAATTGGCAGCCAGTCACTCTGATACCAAGATCATTTGAAACAAGAATCTTTTTAAATTCATTCATAAAAATGTTAAACAAGATTGGAGATAAGACGCAGCCTTGCTTTACTCATTGTTCAATCTCAAAGAGTTCTGTGTCTGTATCTCCGAGTCTAACTATACCATTAACCTCTGAATAAAGTTTATCACCCATTCTCCAAATCTTTCCCCTAATACCCGATAACCAAACAGCTTTAAGTAAGCCATTACGCCAAACGCTGTCAAAAGCTTCTCGAAAGTCCAAGAAGGCCATATAAGTGTGTTTGTTTTCATTTAGCCGGCAAGCTGCCACGTTTTTGAGAGTAAAAATATGATCATCACATCTATATGTTCTACGAAAACCTCCTTGGACTTCCGAAAAGGTATCATTTCCTTCAAGGAAGTTAGAGATATTAAATGATAAGATACGATTAAATATTTTTGAAACACAAGAAGTTAGAGATATACTTCTGTAGTTATCCAGGTCTCTGCGGCTACCTTTCTTATAAATAGGAATAATAATGCATTTATTCCAGTCTTTAGGAATTTCTTCAAATTCAATAATTTTGTTAAAAAGTATAAGTAAGCTTTTTATAATACAGTGACCTCCATTTTAAAGTAATTCGTTGGTTATACTGTCTAAGCCAGGGGCTTTATTATTTTTTGAAATTGAAATTGCCTCTTTAACCATATCAGTATTAATAACAATATCACATAAAAATTTTTCGTTCCATTGGTGATCATATTCATGAGAAAGATTATCTCTAATTTGTTTAATGAAACGACTAGTCAAGTAAGAATTACAATCGTTTAAATCCATGTTGCCTTTTCCAAGGTTTTCCCAGTAACTTTTAACACTCTGAACAATTTTTTCTTTGTCAAAGGTAATTTCGTCAGGACCAGGAATTTTGATGCAATCAAAATCCATGCTGCCACCCTTAACATTCTTACCACGTAAAGTTTTCCAAAAACTTTTACAGGAAGGCCCTCCCTTGTTTGCAATTTCAATAGAATTGTTTATTCGTTTTTCTGTTATTTTTTTCTGAATAAGTAATTTAACTTTCTGACGTCTTTCTAAATATAATCTCCAAAGTTCATTCACGAGTATTATCATTATTATTATTATTATTATTATCATTATCATTATCATTATCATTATCATATCATTATCATTATCAATATTATTATTATTATTATCATTATCAATAACATTACTAATGCTACTGCTGTTACTATTAGTACCACTATTGTTTTTATTATTCCTATTGAAGTTTACCCACTTACGATGGAGACGACATGCTGCTTTCCTTTCTTCGATAGCAACATCTACTTCCTTGTCAAACCATGACCATGGTTTTTGTTTGTAATTTATAACTCTAGTTCCTATTCCTTCTTTTGCTGCTTCAATCAAAATATTTTTCCAAGATTCCCAAATTGAATCAGCAGTTTTTATATTTTCAGTATCCCAGTTATTAATTTTTTCTTCAAGTTTCATTTGATATAATGTGAAATCCTGATTATACTTAATATCCCAAATAACTTTTTGTTTATCAGACTTGGAAGCTTGTTTATGTAGCGGAATGTCAAGGGTCAACAACAATAGATTGTGATCACTCCCAAAGCTAAACTTACCCTCTTCATCAATTAGGACAGACTGTACATAATTAATTAATCCCTTAGAGCATAAAAAGTAATCTATTGTGCTTTTTTGGTTTCCCCTGCACCAAGTAAATTTACCATCACAATAGACTGTACAATTTAAAATGGTAAAATTCGCATTTTACCATTTCGCGAATTAAGTAATCTATTACCATTTGTATTTGTAATGGGGTCACCATTTGGTATTTCATTACCAATC